CAAGAATGGCAATTCACTGTGCTAGGTCCCTCAGAAATTGAGAATTCATAGTCTACAGTCCTCCTTCCTTTGCAGCAGTATTCAGTCTTTCATATCTTACTGTATATCCCACCAATCAGCTTTTCAAAAACTTGAGATCTACCATGGTAAAAATGAAAAGCCTTTTTTTCTCCAATACAAACATTTAGGCATCTTTTTATATATCTGCCAAACAATTAGAAAGGATATCTGAATTGTAGCAAGTGCCGTTTTTTGCAAAAAGCAAACTTTCAGTTCCTTTTTCATTACTGCTTAATTCCCCAAAATTGCTGCCACTGGCTCTCATAAAATCATCTCACTCTGGTAATTTTGGGCAATTAAAAACTTTCCTCTCTCACCCTTCAGCCCCAATAGCTTATGAAAGGAATCCCATGGGAACCTTGCGACCTTTGAGGGAGGAACTGGAAATGGTTTATTTCTGAAAAATTGCTGTGGTTGATGACATCATCAGCTCTATGTGGCATAGGCTATATATAACAATATAATTGTGTGCTATCAGTGTTTTTTTTAAAGGTAGAGACAGTACTTAGAAGTGGCTTACCTTTCCATTCTTCTAGGGGCATCCTAGGACTGTGCAATTTGCCCAAGGCCACACAGGCTGGCTTTACTGGGATGCAGTGTGGAACTGAACTTTAAACATCTGGCTTTGTAATCACATTGTACCTAACTCACTGAGCTATCCAGTCCGCTGCTGGATCTCAGCCGAAAGGTTTGTTCTGAGATAAACATGTTCCTGCTAGCATTTTTTACAGAAGTTAAGAGGTTTTCTTATTACATGAGAAAATGAATTCTTTGTATTTATTTTAAAATATCTGTAAGGCGCCTAAACTACCTCTGCATGTCATAAATAATATAGGAAAAACAGCATGAGAACCACTTCTCTGGAGGACTACATAGGGAAGACATAATGACTGAATGTCTAGAAAACTGTACAGATGAGAGTGCCAGCCTTCCATGCCAGTCCCAAAGACTGTAAGACCACTGAATTTCAGTACACCCAGTATTTTCATTCTGAAACCCAAACTACTGTTGATTTAGGGGAAACACTGACAATATTAGTGTAGTGCTTTTTATAGTACTAGACTGGTTGTTAAAGTATATGGCTGTGCCTCTGTATACATACAGATATGTGAGTCCAGAGGGGAAGACCAAGTTTTGCTTCACAAAAATCAACATTATCAACTCTCAGTCCACTAGAGACAGATATTTTCCTGCCATCATTTGGCTGGCAATGCAAAAACGTTTACAGCTTCACACCAGCTCAGCAAATGCGTGCATGTCAGCATTCCCTTTGCAACTTACTTAGTACAGTACATGAGTCCCTTTCAGCTTCTGTCTTTGTTAGTGTCTGCTAAGAAACTAATCACTGGAGCCACTCATGTGATAAACTGGCAGTTGAAATACTTAAATGTCAAGTTGTTTTCATCAGACACATCGACAGCAGGTCTTAGATGGATTTTTTTTCTGGGTACGTGTGTGTCAAGCCTTTTCCTTGATGCTGAAGAAAAAATGTGAATTGCCTGCTATGCTAATATCAAATTTGCTTCTTAATTCACCAGTTTCATCAGAATTGCCCTTTACCTATTGGTGCATGTGGCAGAATTGCAATTTTCTCCTTGACGTACCTCCCAAGAGACTGGAGAAAAACCAAATGCATGCCCTTTGCTGCATGCAAAAATGAGACTAAGATCACCAGTTGCTATCACAAAAGAATAATCGATTTATTTCAAGTAATTGAAAATAATAAGTCAAACTATATCTCACCAGTCTCATCCTACCTGAACACCTGGACCTAATTTGATTTGTATTCCAGTCCTGAATCATTTAACCCAGAAATTAGTTATTTTGGTAACAGTATAATTCTGTGGGGTTTTCATCAAGTATAGATAGTGCTAAACCTCCAAAACATACAATACATTTTTCTAGGCTATGCTAAACCAATTCTATAAGGTATCATTCCACCCAATTACATTTGATTGATTGATTGATTGATTGATTGATTGATTGATTGATTGATTGATTGATTGATTGATTGATTGAGCTTATATGTCCACCAACTAATACTGTGTCACGAACATTATTTTAATATGATGTTATTATAAAATCTTACAATTGGGTCGTGCAGTAAAATGCTGTAGTGCATTTTCATTCCAAACAGCTGTTCATTTCAGGGTCCTGTCCAAACAGCCATACCTTTTGCCAAGAGACTATATCAATTCTTTTAAAACCCTTTGGTTTATGAATGTGGGATATTGTGCTTCTGATTCAAAATGTCAAGAAATTGCATGATCTTGTTGCACAACATCACGTCTGCTTTGCCAGCAGGAAAAAGAATGCCAAGCTTTATATAGCAAAGGGCAACCTAAATGTTGACAACACTAATGGCAGCAGTCAATATGGTCTATAGCAGGGGTCCCCAACCTTGGGCCTCCAGATGTTCTTGGACTACACCTCCCAGAAGCCTTCACCACCACCTTTGCTAGCCAGGATTTCTGGGAATGGAAGTCCAAGAACATCTGGAGGCCCAAGGTTGGAGACCACTGGTCTATAGGATACCCTTTTCTACTCACTACCATTCACAAAGAGACACCAAGCAATGGAAAATCCCAGGAGCTGACTCCTTTTTTTAATCAGTTAACCACTTCTTACCCAAACACAAAACCATTACTAGGGCTACTTTTCAACAAGTATGAGTGGTAGAGTGCATGTTTTCCAAAAGATGCACCTCATCTTTTGAAATAATAATTTAAAAGGCAGAGCTGAGAATTAACAAGGATCATTATTGGAAATCAGGTTCAGAATCATCCATACTATGTGAAAGAAAGACAATGAAGAAAGAGAGGAACAAAAATCAAATTCTTGTGAAATGCGGTGTTGGAGAACAGCCGTACAGCTAAAAAGACTGCTAGAAAGACAGAAAGATGTGCTCAATCAAGTCAAATATGAACTTTCACTAAAGTAAAATAAGTAAATTGAGGTTGTCCTACCATGTACATATAATGAAAATACAGAACTGTCTGGAAAAGACAATATTGCTGGGGAAAAGGGCTGGCAGCAGGAAGAGAGGAAGAATTACCATGACAGGGGTTGACTCAATAAAGAAATCCATAGCTGTTAATTTGCAAGACCTGATCAAAAGTTACAGGAAAAGACAATACTTCTAAGAAGGGGAAACAGCAGGAAGAAAGAACAACTTAATATGCAATGTTGTTGGTTTGCAAGATCTGAGCAGAACTGTTAGTAATATGACATTTGCGAGGTCATTAACTCATACACTCACCACGTATCATAAGTGACTTGAGGGCACATAACTTCTTTGGAAGCTTTTTTTCTTTTTCTTACTTACCAGACAATTATATAGACAGTTATAATGGTTGAAACTATGACAGTATATATGTATTTTTATAACCAGACACAAAATATTTTTACAACCAAACACAGAATCCCTTTGACAGAATGAATGCCTGTTTGGCTAGGAAAGAGTTAAAAAGTTCTCCTCTTCAGACTCAGCTAATTGGGTCCTGCCTGACAGGGTCAAAAATTCACATTGCACAAGACTTGTAGCTCATTTTCCCTTCAAAGACTGGTATCAGGAACCTCCTCTCAGAAGCATTTATGGAAAATACTTGGAATTGGGCAAACACAACTGCTCTGTGCTTTTGTAATACAGAAATGCTTTGATTGTGCTTTATAAATTTGTATGCTACATCCCTGGAGACACATGGCAAAATATCCCTTTCTAGAGGACTGTCACTGTGACTTTCTTTAAAGCAAGCCTTTTTTTTTACTCTTCAAAGAAAACTTGTCTTTATCTTTCTTTTCCAAATGCTAATCAACGTACTGAATCTAATTTTTAGTCCTAGATAGTGAAGACTCATTGAATAGATGGAAGTCTAGTCATTACTAATATAAACCCCATAGATTTCATAGGCAGAGTCCACTTGGGCCCTCTGTGAGGATAACAGACTGTTGCACAAACAGTTGGGCTTTTTGGAATTTGCTCAATGAGGTATTTAGTCCCTCCTTGTATTACTAAAAGCCCCATTTGTTTCACTGGGGTGATCTCTGGTTTGCACAAAACAGAGATCCTAAGAATCTCCAGGGATGGAGATTGTTCTCCCAACATCAACAGCATACTTGCCAATGTGCCCATTCTACCTGGGATTAACAAATTAATCCAGTATTCTGTGGCATCCTTAAACCTCTTCTTTTGGTTATGGTTGGCTAAATGTTTAGTTTTCTATAAACCCTGGAGTTCCACTGACTGTGCTATCATCATCATCATCATCATCATCATCATCATCATCATCATCATCAGCAGCAGCAGCAGCAGCAGCAGCAGCAGCAGCAGCAGCAGCATAACTGGAAAGGACACTATGGATCATCCAGTCCAGCCCTTGTCAAGGAGGTACAGTGAGGAATCGAACTCCCAACCTCTGCACAACCAGATACCTAAACCATTGAGCTATCCTGCAGTTTATCTCCCTTGTATTTGTCAATAATGGTGCTTGGCTTTAAACATGTCAGAGTGCAGCCTGTGTAGAAAATGGCATGGAATCCCACCCTCCCGTGATTCAGCAAACTAGATTATGTAGATCATTTCAATGTTCATAGTTAATACAAATCATTTTTCTAATTAACTGTGGTTCAAGTCCCAATAGAGATCCTTTCATATATCTTCCCAAGGGATATATGGTTGAACCCGCCCTCCCCTGCTTTGCAGTATTTGAAAAGGCTTTGGAAATCCATCTGTTTTAGGGCATTTATTTTATTCATTGCTATTGTTGACAATTTATGTTTAATTGCTGTGGTTTTGACAATGTTTACTTTAAGACTAGCTGAATTGTACCTTAACATACTGTTGTCTTTCATAATCACATATTTGAACTATTTGTTTTCACATTGTGTTATTATGTGTTTGTTTTTAGGTTTTTATTTTGTTTACCTTTGTGTGTAGACTTGGACCAGAAAGGCAGTTAATACATATTTAAATAAAGTTCCTGATTAAATAAGGTGAGTAATTACTCGCTATTTTATAAATATAGCTGTGACTGATCATAAAGGAGATAACATACTGTGACACGTGTAAATAAATGAAATAAACCAAATAATGAGAAAGTAAGACCCAGAGAAAGTCAGTACATCATTAATTTATCTAGCAGTGAACTCATGTGAATGTTCTAATTCTTAGATTATGTATAAATGAATGTCTAAAATTGTCTGGGTTTATTGTTGGTTTGTAAGAGACTGTGAATGATGACAGATGTGGCATATTGATTTTGTTATGGACCACCAGTAAAATACAGGTGGTATTACAACAGCTTGTGCTTTCAATGTCATGCTGTAGCTTAGAAATAAAAAAAAACTCTTATTTGGAAACTTTTAAAGCTAACAGAATAGTAATCAATTTTTTATCTGTGGGTAGTCATTGGAAGTCTGTGGTTGGTTTCCTGTCCTCATTCTGCAGCTCTCTTGTTAAAATATTTAGGCAGTACCCCTGGGAAATACTATACTACACCCAGGTTGAACCTGTTTACATTAGGAAGAGAAAGCCTGCTCTTTGTATCCTGTTAGCCACAAACATATCCTAGTCTCATACTGTCACTTTCCCCAGGAGGGTTCTTGGATGTCATTCTGCTGCAGTTCTTGAACACATAATACACAGTTGTATTGAATGGCTACAAGGACATCTTGCTTCGTCCCTTTTCATCCTTGATTAAAGTTGGAATGCAGCAAACATTTCTACATGGTGTAGTTTCTGTTCTTGAGGGAAAATGTCAGTCCAATAGGTGAATTATATTCCCAATATGTTTCTTGGTGATATTCAACAGAAAAATGGAGAAGAAGAAAAATGAGAGAGGTCTTGTAATAATTTGTTGGGATGAAGGACATGTTGTTCAAATGATCCCCATCCCTATTTTGGTCAAGTTTATTTCTTGCAGTACATTTTGTACTTGCAAAATGGTGTCCAGGTACAAAACACATGCACATATAGATTTAATCTCCCGACCTCACCCTGATGATCATAACAGCCATTTCACTGAAGCTAACCCTGTCTGGGTTTGGGTGCTAGCTGGATGGGAGATTGTCTTGGACCCAATGCATGCTTTCATGAGTTGCAACAAGGAAAGAAATGGGAAGGAAATGTAATCAAACATAATAAATGCACCGAATGACAGATAATTTGGAAAAGATCACATCCTACATATGAGTAGGGATGTGACAAAGACTCACAACATTCCTCTTTTTTGATGAGACAGACAGACTCAACACAGTCTGTTAAGAAAGCAGTAGTCCCCATGAAATTCACACCTCAAGCACAAGAATTAGACAAGGTATGCTTTCTCTTTCTTCACCTTTTCATCAAGGGTTCTACAATTCTTACAAAATATCTCTGGACAAAATAGTGTTTTCTTTCCCCTTTGTGAAGCAAAGAAACACATAGAGCGATCATAGGACTGGCTGACTGATCAAAAACAAACAACCCATCTGATGGGTTTAAAATGTTTAAAATACAAGGCAGCATCTGTTATAGTTTTGTGCAATTTTTCAAATTGCAAATTTTCAAAATGTGAGAACTCTGCTTGAGGAAGCTTGTCTTGAAGGCAATTTTTGCAATTCCTTGTTCTCATTATGAATTATTTTGAAGATTTCATTTACAGTATATAGAAAATATACTGTCGGACTGCAGTCCTAAACATGCCTCACTAGGATGTAAATTCAACTGAACACAGATGGTACATATGTTTAAGAACACATGCCCATATGACACTGAATAGGTTACAAAACAAAACACCCCAAGTATCCTGGCTTTACAGACAGGGATTGTAAACAAGCCAAACAACTCAAAGAAATATTTGCATGTATAATATTTATTATAATACTTTTTGCTGACAGCGAATTACAGGACACCTGAGTGAATTCTTTAAATATACCTTAATCTGGAGATTTTCACTTTCAAGCAAAACCATGAATGTTCTTCTGAGACATTATTTACGGAAAAAATGATGGAAAATGACAACAAACAACCCTTTTGAAAGGTAGTTTAAAGCAGGTTTCCCACTGTTCATGTAAAATACTTTCTCCAGGCTTACAAGGTCTTGTTATCTAATGATAACAGATGACATATCTATTAAGGTTCACTTGACCCAGAAATTCAGTGCATGGAAACAGTTTTAATTTTTGATGGCATTTGCGTTTCATAACTAAATATGCACATGTATTTCCATATTTACAATAACAAAAACGATAGTAATTTATACTGAATAACAAATAAAGAAACATGTTCTGTTAATTGAAGAGTTTCTGATCCCAATCCAGAGCTTTGTGGGTCAGCAGAGGGATTGAAGCAAGAAGACTAATGTGGAAATCTCATTAATCTGTTGTTTTGTTACAAGCTCAAAAGTGTGTGTGTGTGTGTGTGTGTGTGTGTGTGTGTGTGTGTGTGTGTGTGTGTGTCCTGTTTCCAATGTTTTTATTTTAATATTACCACCTAATCAAAAAACAGATTTCCTGAACAGTGGGGCACACTTATGGCTTTAAGATATGAATAATTTTGAATGAATCCAGCATCCTGGAAACAAGCAGTTCAATATGGTTCTGCGAAATGTATATAAGATTATATTTAATTATTTTGTTTTTCACTTTAATAGATGTTGGAAGTCAAGACAGATGCACTCATAGTTCGGTACATAAAAGTAGTGATTGTCTACAGCATCTATAATAGAATGGCTGGCATTTCATGTGGAATACACAGGGATAAGCAACAGGATTTCAGATTATATGGGCAGAATGTTCTCATTCCATTTCTCATATGTGATTGTGGGCATGATGGACCTTTTAAAAAATTAATACAAGGAGGCATCCAGCACCTTATTATGGAAGTGAAAGCTGTGTTTTAATAATTGGGATGATCTCTGGCTTGCACAGTGGGGAACTGGAGACCATTGGAGTTTTGTGTTTGGAAGATATCCATATAGAGTACACAGGAAGGCAACAGGCTGGAGCATTCTGCTCTGCCCATGGGAAGCAGGGTACTGGTTCATGACTTTGAAGACAGGCCATAACATAGAGATGCAGAAATACAGGTGGACAGAAATCTTCTCCTCCATTAACTTGTTGCCCAAGAGCTCTCTCTTGCTTTTTCCCATCAAAAAAGAAAAAAGAAAAAAAGGAAACTTTAAGTCAGATTATTGGGTATTTTAAATTTCTTACTCTTATTGCTGTTTCCTTTAAAATGCAACTTAAATGTGTCACAGTTGTGCTGCTACAGGATCAGAAGAACATGCACCTGGGTATTTCTCCTAAGGGAGCAAAAAATAAATAAAATAAAAATAAAATAAAATAGGACAGCCTGATCAAAGAAATTCAATATCGGCTGACACACCCTAAGGCCAGCCTCCCAGGGTTTTCCTTCATCACAGGAAAAGCAAAACAAGACTTAAGAACATGTCCTACCTTGGAAAGTTAGTGCCAGTAAACTATTTGGAACAAAAGCTAAAAAAAAAATTCTAGGAAAACCTGTAATTTCACAATAGCTAACTTGTAATTCAGACCTCCAATTTAACAGCATAACAACACTGCTAGTATTTTGCTGGAATTAACTATACAAGTTGATTTTTCTAAATGTTCACTGAAGTTTGTTCTTCTTAGGGCAATTGAAAAGCTGCTGTCTCACATACCCATATAAATTGATCATCATTTTCTGTTTGCTATTGAAGGAGAATCTGCTATTTTTCAAGATAGCCCATTCTGTTGTCAAACAGTTCATCCTCTCAGGAAGTTCTTCCTAATATAAAATAGCTGTTCACATTCCAGATAACACTCACAGCCTTTTTAATGGCTTTCAATTGCTGCTGCTCCCAAACTCTGGAACTATCTCCCACAGAAGCCCAGGCTGGCCCTTTCTTTGCTGTCCTTCTACAGCAGGCAATGACCTTTCTCTTCAGGTAAGCTTTCCTTCAATGACCGGCTAAAAGGAGTTTTTAAAATACAGGACTATTGTGCTTTTCTTGCTTTTAATTTATTTTTAGTACAGTTTTTATCTTTTAGTTTTTATATTTGTTTAATTTTTTTATTATCATAATTATTCATTGTGTTTAGCTTTTAATATTGTTTCTTTTTTAAACACTGTAAGCTACCTTCCTTCCTTTTTGGAGAAAGGTGGGATATAAATATTTTAAAGAATACAGTAGTTAGGCTCATAGAAGACGATAATATGTTATTGCTGGAGATGACTTTGAATAATTCAAAGTGTTAATGCTTACATATAAAGCCCTAAATGGTTTAGGACCTCGATACTTGGCGGAACGCTTACTCCCAACTAGTTCTACCCGTGTCACCCGCACGAGCCAGGAGGTGAGGCTGAGGAGCCTGACGCCGAGGGAGGCCTGGAAGGAAAGAACTAGAAACCGGGCCTTCTCGGCGGTGGGTCCTCGCCTCTGGAATAACCTACCTCCGGAGATTCGCACTGCACCCTCACTGGGTACTTTTAGGAACCAACTAAAAACGTGGATGTATAGGCAGGCCTTCCCTTCCAGTTAATTCCTGTCCTCTTTCCTTTTTTATTCTTTTTCTCTTTATCTGATTTATTTTGTATTTTTCCCATCTTGCAGAATCATTTAATTAATTGTTATAAATTTTTCTTGAACTTGTTATCCTTTATGTTGTAAGCCGCCTAGAGTGGTCGAAATGACTAGATAGGCGGGGTATAAATACAATAAATAAATAAATAAAAATAAATAGACTGGACAGGGGTGAGGTTGCTTCTGGATTATATCTGCATAATTTTCTGCTGAGAATAATAAGACCTGGTGACAATTTACAGTTAGGAAAATGGCGAATGGCATGATTGTTATCAGTTGCCATTGCCACCATGTTCTGATTCTTCATTTTCAACCCACTGTTGCTTTCAGAACAGCTCATCACCACAGGAAGCCAAGAGTGACACAGATACCTAAATTGCAGCCAGATTACTTTTCCTCATTCCCTCAGTAACAACCATAGAAGTCAGAATACTACAATGAAAAGAGAGCAGGAACTGTCTTAGTGGAAAAGGAGTAGTTAGGATACATTTCATACATTCCTTTCGATCCACCATCCAACTCAATTAAACTGGTCTACTCTTCTTCAAGCATAACATTGCCAGCCATATAAATTGTATATATAGTTCTGAATCCTGTCCTCTGAAGATGCCGGCCACAGAGACTGGTGAAACATTAGAAAGAATAACCTTCAGGACATGGCCAAAGAACCCGAAAAGCCCACAACAACCATCAGATCCCGGCCGTGAAAGCCTTTGAGAATACATTGTATACATACAGCTGCAAATAGTGTGGCACAAGATATGGATTTACAAGCTAGGAAATCATTGTAAGCATGAGTTGATGCTGAACAAGACTGGACTGGCTTGAAACTAAAACTAAAACTAAAAGAGGGAAGCCTCTAATATGTCAATTTGGAATTCATGGATAGCTGTTGAGGAGGCATATATTAAGAATGGGTAGCTTCAGCTTATTGTGATGCTTATTGTTTTAAGTGCAGTATTGTATGATGAGCAAAGAGATCACCATGGGGCTATTTTTTTAGCGGCTACTGAAAGAAAACACTTCATCTGGGTAATTTAATTTGTAGCCATCTTAAAATGTGTGCCATACAGGCAATTTCCCAAATTGGCATCTTCTTTTCCTATATAAGTGGTTGCCAGTTAGAGATATTAGCCAACCAGAAAGGAAGCAGATGGAGCTTTCAACCTCATTTTCGTTTCCGTAGAAAATAACGGTTAGGAAGGTGCAGGGTGGGTGGTGGGAACAATGGAAAACATGACAGTTAACAATCCATATAATGAATATCAGAATAATATGACTGTCCATTCTGTATCAAGCACCTTCAGTTGTGCAAGTACATACAATCTATTTCAGTGTAAGGGAATTATGGGTCCAATATAGTAGAATTGTGCAGTATACTGAAGAGTAGCAAATGGTACTTCTTGCAGATCGTGAGGCGTTGGATACAATAGCCAATGGTGGGTGGACAAAAGCGGGCACAACTACATGCAGAGACATGCATTCACTCAAATACTGCCCCATTCATTAACTCTACAAGGCAGTAGTGGGCATGCCTTTCCTCAAATTGGAAATGTTCATGCCCACTGCTGCTTCCTTTATCTCCTTCCTACACATTCACATGGAGGGTGAGATAAAACATTCTACAGGACAGGAATGCAGGTGGGATTCTAATTCTTTACCTCTTGTAAGAAGGTAGGCAGGAATGGGCTAGTTAGAATTGCCCTAATGGCCCAGATTCCACTGCTTTGGAACAAAAATCGGGGTGACACCAGAGAGAAAGATATCCGTGCACTTGAAGAAAACTGGTTCCCTGGTGACTTAGCTGTCCAAGGGTGCAGAGGGCATGGAATGAAGTGCTATAGAAAGGCTGTTAAATACCTCTTTCTTGGCACCATGGCCATAGCTAGGCCTCAGAGCCATAAAGCTCATGAGATACTAGATCAGTACTATGCTAATATTAAGCTGCACAATCCTCTCCCTCCCTCCTTCCCTTTCCCTTACCTTCTCTCTTAGACTGTTCTTGTTCTTACTAATTAATTTGCAGGCTCACATGCCTTTACAGAGGAAGTCAAAGGAGGGCAGGAAGATGGAGATGAAAATTGAGACTCAGAAAAGTCAAGCACCACTGGCAGGAAAGGACTCAACTTATGGATACTGCCAGTCAGATCTGGGCAACTGTTGGGCTAGTTACTCAAGATAAGACCAGTCCAATGACCTTAAGGGCAAGTAGACACATTCTGGATATGGAGTGCCTTGATTTATTGTTCTGCTTGCCTGTGATGCATCAGATTTTGGTGGGGGCATCCAGTAAATGCTCCTTTTACTAAAAGAGTAGGTCATGCCTTCCCGCTTTATGGCTACAACTTGCAAAACAGGCCATGTTTGATATTTTTGTATCTTTTCCCATTGCAGTTCTTAGTCTGTGCCATTAGACATGGCTAGATTCAATGGGCATGTGAGCAGAATTGGAGTTGCTGCAGATCCTCTTCCCCCAAACACCAAACAACCCACTCTGGGGTATGATGAAACAAGAGGCAGGAGAGAAAACTCTTGCTAAAAGGATCTGTTATCATTGCCCTGATTTAGCCTTTCTTGAGTACACAGTGGAATGTATTCACTCAACCTTGCATTCATCCAGAAAATAGATGGTGTGTGAGTGTGTGAGAGAGTGTTTCAGAGAATGGAAGAGACAGAGCTAGCATGTTGGAAGGTAGATAGTGGAGAATAGTTTTAGAAGGCAGCAAGCAGCAGAAGGTTGAGAAACACTAATTTAATCATGCATGTGGCCAAGTGAGAAGGAAGTGCTTGCTTTTTAAGAGATGCCAGGTGTCCAGCATATCTGAAAGCCATGAACTTCTGCCCCTGAACCCCTGCTGTGTGAGGGTAACAATAAGCAGTGGAGGAAAATGCACTCTGACATGTTTGAAGGATTATTCTTTGTTATTAATTCTTTACATGCACTTTCTTCTGGCAATGAACACAGATTTGGGGCTTAGCTATAGCTTAGCATAGGCATTTTACAACATGGGTTCAAGCAACTTCTGCATTCTTAAAAACCACTCTACTCTCTACACGTTGGTCCAATGACCAGAAGTTAACATCAGTCTGTGCATCTTACTGTTGCTTCAGAATGATGGAGGGTGTTCCATACAAATCTTAAAGGAAGATAAAATAATGAAGAACAGAATTTCATGCAAACAACGAATTTTGACCGACCGTCACTAAAGCTTCCAGAAACCAGAAAGAGCAGCCACAAGCAACGTGCTCTCTAAGCTGTGTGCACACGTGCACGAAGAACTCCATTGCGAAGCAGGTGTTCTTGCTTGTTTAGTTCCAGTTTCGACTGGAGCCCTAGCCCTGCCCATGTGCACGAAGCAACGCTCTGGTGCAGCAACACCAAAAATTAGAGGGACCATTGTCCATAAGAATGCAAATTTTACAATAGCAAATTCCTGTTTCCTTTATTCCCAAATCTATGGTGTAGACAGTTTAATATTGAACTTAATAAACCAGGCACACAGCAAATTTAATACTGTAGTGATAATTAAAAAAAAACACTAGTATCATGTCAGTAGTTTACCTGGGAAAATGCAAGTCCAATTCTACAATTCTAAGATAATATTCCATAAGAAACAATGACATGAAATAGCATACGTGGCAAAGCTGCTTACATCTTTGATGTGGGACAGTTTTGAGGATGATTCTTTAATGATCTTTGGGGAATCTTAAAAGGAATAATTCTTTACGCACAGTCTGCCTCTGGAATCTAACCAGAGATGTGGTTAAAACATACACATCTAAGAGCAGTCTTCCGAGGACAAATAGGTTTTTGTAGTCTGGGCAGCATCCGGTGAGCTGCACTTTCACATCATAGGAGGCTACTTAATTCCCTTAGCAATGGCAAGAAATGCAGACATTTTAGACAAGTGGAATAGCTTCAGCAGTGACTTACATTCCACCTTGCAGGAATACAATGGCCATAATAGTACCCATCACTGAAGCGATTCTCAATTGTGCAGGCACAGCGAAACCATGGGGCCAAAGCTGGGCCTTGAAGTGGCTTTAAAATTGCAATCAATGAGAAGTGTTTGTGCCATAATTTAACAACCAAGGAAGGAATGGCCGTCCTGGTGTCAAGACAGCATGCATGCACTATCAAAACTAAAGCTTCTCACCTGGAAAACTGAGCAGCTTTCATTGTGAGACAACAGGCTAAACTGACAACTCTGGATGTTTTTATGCCATCTGGGAATGTAACAACTGAAGTAGAAGATAAAATTTCCAAGATTTTAATCAAGGTCAAAACACTCAGAGAAACAGCACTACGCCAAAGACTGGCAAGTTCCCAAAGATATATGCTGTGGACATCTCTCTCCCCCTCTCTCAAATAAATAAATGAATGTTCTTGATTTCAGATGATGATATTATTTATATTATGTATATATAATGGTTCAGTAGTTATCACATTATTCTCTATCACAGATTAATATATGTTACTGAAAAATACATACTATATGTAATGGCTTAGTAATGATTACCTGCAAGCTTTGAAACTCCAACTAGGGAGGGAAGAACATTTCAGTAATTTCCAGACTCTTGTCAAGATCTGGTACCTCCTGGGATTCATTTTGAGACAAAGGGCAGCTTGACTCAGAAATCTGTGAAAATGTTGTGAAGCATGTAATACATTTTGGGGGGAAAATATGCACAAACACAACATATATTTTTTCAACATGTGTGCTTAGAACTATATACAGTTGAAAACTATGTCACTGGGCTTTAGTCAATGGAGAAATGTGTATATTAAGAGTATCAGATTGGATTTGCCTTCAGTGTGGAAGAGATTGTCACTCTCGAATTGGCCTCCTCAGCCACACTAGACGCTGTTCCAAGTCCTCCATACAGAGCACGTTACCATAGTCTTTTGAGACTGAAGGATGCCTAACCTATGCACATAAATGTGTACATTATGAAAAAAGCATGTGAATTTATATGCAGTAGGATATGGTGGCACTGTGGGTTAAATCACTGAAGCCTCTGTGTTGCAAGGTCAGAAGACCTGCAGTCATAAGATTGAATCCACGTGACAAAGTGAGCCCCTGTTGCTTGTCCCAGCTTCCGCCAACCTAGCGGTTCGAAAGCATGCAAAGTGCAAAAATGTGAGTAGATAAATAGGTACCACCTCAGTGGGAAGGTAACCGGTGTTCCGTGTCTAGTCATGCTGGCCACGTGACCATGGAGGATTGTCTGCGGACAAACACTAGCTCTATGGGTTGGAAATGTTGATGAGCACTGCCACCTAGAGTCGGACACGACTGGACAAATTGTCAAGGGGAACCTTTACCTAAGTAATGTCTTGCAATGTGACACAAACAAAAGATCAGACAGGAACAGGTGAAATTGACAGAAACTCAATAAAACTGAGACTGAGGATGGAATCCTGTAGGGTTCATAGAATGCAAACAGGCAATCAAGCAAGTAATTTGTGCTATCTTGCAAGTTGTTTGTTGCACTCTCAGTAGAGCTCTCATTAGGAAATAAATCACATGGTGGACAGCTGGCAAAACAAGAAAACACACCCTTAAGCATGTATG